TTGGGTCAACAGAGAGAGCAGCTCGACAATCCCGTAGGACAGCCGTGACATCACCGACATGCTCATGGAATGCTGCTCTCAAGTGCAGCAGGTGAACATCTGCTTTGAATGCTATCGCTCTTGATAGTTCTGCAATTGCTTCCTTCTCCTTCTGGCTGTCCATTAACACTGTTTCAAAAGAGTCACAAGTGTAATGCAACCTCAGTGTCAGCAAGATCACAAGGGTAAAAAAGATAGCAACAATACTACTGACAAGTTAAAACCACATCCATTCCCCAAACATGATCAAGTGTTTTCCCTTATAAATCCGATCTAATGTTCGCTGTGATCTTGGAATTAACTCGACTAAGGTAGAACAGCTGCAAAAAGAATTAAAGAGAGGTAAGAGGTAAAGATAATCAGACCTGCTGCTCGATATCTGTAAGGGTATACTCGGAGGGGATCTAATTTAGTGACCATCTCCAGATCAGCCTTTGTTTGCTCACGATCACAATACTCGGATCTCTTCTCGTAGGCAGAAGCATTATTCTTAGCCTTTTCAATTAGTTTGGTCATTTGCTCATAAGCAGCAGCTTTATCATTTCTCAGAAAGTAGACCCGAGCAAGGCCTTGATGGGCCCGTGTATGTCGGATTTTAAGGGCATTAATGTAACAATCAGCAGCCAAATCTAACTGCCCGCAATCAACATAAACACTTCCAAGATTGTTAAGTGCCTGGTTAATGGAGGTTCAATAGCAAGGTTAGAAAATTCTGTAAATTCAATTGTCCACTCATGTTACACAAGACCAAGAACAAAGAAACACAAGAAAAAGACTAAAATCTATCAGTCTATTCATGCTAACATAACAACGAAGAAAAATGTAAACATTTAAAACGCAAAGACATAAAATCACCAAGTTTCTATTCTAACCACACCACTTTGTCAGATAATTGCAAATCTACAAACCAAACCATGACACACCTGTAATCCATCTAGCCTTTTCCAAATGAATTACTTACTGGTTTTGCTTAGTTGATTAAAAAAAAGTTAGCAGTTAATTTATATATATATATATATATACAGTGAAAGCAAAGTAAAATAAATTCTAATGGAGAGGGAACGAAAAGGAAACCTTACCTGGCCTTTCCGCAGCCTGTCTGAAGGGCATTTCAAGGCATTTTCAAGAAGAGAGATAACAGTTGAAAAACAAGATGAATCTTCGCAAGACTCAGCCAAGGCATAGGCTTTAAGAAAGAATGCTTCAAAAGATCTCTTAATTTTTATAGACTCCTCTGCCTTCTGTGAACCTTCCTTACAGTGACCAGTATCATATAATATCCATCCCTCATACACCAGACGCTCATGATCACTGGAAGCATGTTTACGAGCTAATTGCAAACTTCTCATAGCTGCCTCAGGACAGTTCAACCTGAATGAGTAAAGACAAGTCTGGTGAACCATCTAGGTATAATCATAATACTACCAAAAATACGTGCCTGGCAGAAACAGAGGGAGGAAGAAGAACGGGTAAATGGAAAAAAAAAAAAAAAACAAAAAGGTCATGGAGACTGAAGAAGATAGTGGATGCCATAGGAACGGGAAGCTCATGTGTTAAGATTTCAACTGAAATTAGCCACCTTGAAGACAAAACTCAAAAGTAAGAATTTCTTGATATACATGAGACAACAGTGCATAATGAAGATTGGTTGCATATGCTAAAAAAATGCCAGAATGCCCTAAGATTCTGAAGTGCAGGACATACCTCAGGAGAAGTAAAGACTGCCTGAAGTATAGAACACCTTTTGCTGCATCAGATTCAAGCATTTGATAGATCACAGAGAGAGACCCAATATCATCAACAGAAGACCATCGATCATACAATTGCAGCCAGCAATCTGCAGTTGTCCAATTGCCAACATGCTCATGCACAAGAGTATGGAGCTGGGATGCTGCCACACGTCCCTCAAACATCCTGTAATCTGGGGAGAGAGTAAGAATTGCCTGAACATCACAAATGGCTGATTTGTAGTCCTCAATAGCCAAATAGAAACAAAACCGCAGTTCCAAACATTCTAATGCAAGTTTAAATCCAAGAACCCTATTTATCTCTGTCAGTGCAGCTTTCACGTTCTGTTTCTTCATTAAGGAAGCAGCCCGATACATATATGGATAAGTAAGGGTAGGATCCAACTCAGTTGCTTTATCAAGGTCTTCCCACCTTTTGTCACCTTCACAATATAATGATCTTTCTTGATACATCCATCCAAGTGGATTTGAAGAAGAAATCACAGAGCAGAGCTTTTCATAAGACCAAACCTTATGACCCTTGATATAGCCTAATCTAGCCAAACCTGCAACAGAGTAATGATGACCTAAATTTAAAGCTGCCTTAAAAAGACGTTCAGCTTCTTCATATTCTTTCCTGAGAAGCCTCACACATCCCAATTGATGGAAAGCCAACAGTCTCTGGTGGTCAGTTTCAGCAGACCCTATCAATTGTTCCAGCAAAGAAGCTGTTCTATCAGAACAAGGGTCAAGGTTCATAGCAACTTCACTTAACAAACAATAAAGTGAAAATGAGGCCTGCCCAGCCATGATTGATTTCTGTTGTTTATCAGCATTTATAAAAATATCCACCACCTGTTTATCATTCAAACAATCAGGCAATTCATGTAGAAAAACTTGCAAGCATGATGCAGCAAGGATAGGGGAGTTCTCTTGAGTAGCATATTCCATGAGTTCCAGAGCATTTTCTCTAGAGGACACTAAAGATGCAAGTTTTCTATCGCAAGCAACTTTGAGCCTTTCACAACAAAACTTGTTTGCGAAAACCAATATCTCCAACAAAAGGTTAGGAGGCACTTCAATCAAACTACCAGTCATACTGAACTCCCTTATTGCCCTCATACCTGAAGCAGAAATATTGTTTTGAGATAAATCTACATCCTCACAAAGTGATTCCATGAAAGATCCATTAAGCATGGCATGAAATGGAGCTGAAAGAGCAGCAATTTTCTGTCTATCACAGACTATTTTCTCATCTCCAATCTTAAAGCTCACACTTCTCAGTATATGGCCCCTGCTCATCAAAACAGTCTCTTGTGAGCAGTCGGTTATGTCAACTGCAAGCTTAGAAACATCCATGGGCCCAAACTCTTCTGCACATTTGCGGCAAGTAGCAAGCAAATCAGCAATAAGCTCTTCCCCTTGCTTCTCATACTTCAACCATGCTCCAAATACAAGCTCCTCATGGATGGAGCTTGCCTTCTGCCAAGCTAAGCGGAGGCTTCTCCGCATCAGCTTGGCTTCACCAAGACCCCGGAAGATCTGAAATTGCAATAAATACAGATTTGATCTCTCTTCTGGAGGACAAGAATCGAGTTCTTCATGAATTTGGGCTAAAACTTCTACATAATCAACAGGCTTAAAGAATGGTAAAACCGGCGGCTCTGGAACCTTGATAAAAGACACACTACAAAAATCGCCAAAACAATCTCAATCACTAAAAGAACACATAGAAAGCAGTTTTAGTAATAATAGAGGCAAAAAAGGAGAACAAATAAAATAAACTTACATGGATGAAGAAGATGAAGACTGAGAGGAGAATTTCGAAAGTTTCCCTCTTTCAACTTGGAGCCAAGACTGAGGATTGAGAGCATTAAGCTGTGATTCCTTACATGAATCAGATGGGGAAAAAAAAGGACTCATGGGGCATAAGAGACGTAACAAGTGCCAGATCTATCTCCACAACAGCCAAATGGGTTTCTCTCTCCAAAACTCAAAACAGAACCAAAATTTGTGGGAGTAAAGAAGGGAAGAAGAACCCACAAATGGTTCCTTCTTATCACAAATCAGTGATCCTATTAGCTATAAGATCGATCAACCTCACCAAGCAACAAAATTTCTAATGTAAACAACATTAAATGCAAGCAAACAAATCGGAAAAGAACAAATCACCAGCAGTAGCTATATGGGTACCTCACAAAAGCTACTACACCCCAAAATTGACACCAGAAAAATTGAAAAAAAATGGAGGGTCTTTATACTGCCAAGATATACTAGCTTTTTCTGCAGTCACAGTGAAATCAATCTACGCTAAAAATGAAGAACCGAAACTTAGTACCTCCGTTTCCAACGCAAAAACGAACAAAAACCCAGCATCAGTTACATATGATATGTAATGAAAAGGCAACAAGACCCACGTTACAGCCACTCAGTTATTCTCAGAAAAGCCAAAATACCATGAGAAATGCACCTCGGAGAGAGAAAGAAAGTGAGATTTCTGGGTTTTAAGTTTTTGAAGACCCTGTAAAAATCAGGTCTTAGAAACAGAAGTGAGGTTGGAGGGAGACGAGATCGAAGTGAAGGAATCCAAAATCAAAGGGAAAAAAATTCGGAATTCGACTTTTGTTTGCTTTATAACGTTTCTTTTGTTTCGTAAAAAGGGAAAGTTCTCTCCTTTTTTCCGTTATCCCTGACTTTCCTCTGCCCCTTTGGAGACCACCACTATGACCAGGAAGTTTGCAAATTGCAATGTACAGTTTCTTTGGAAATACAAAACTAAGTAATCCTAAACAGGCCCAAAAAATATAGTAAAAGGGAGAATTAAAGATTTGATAAAAGGTTGATTAGCTGAATTTAAGGAGAAAAATAATGATAATTATGGCTAAAACCACATTGGTCTCAATTCTTAAAACACCCATTAATAATGAAATTTTATATAACTTAAGGATGCATTTATTATATTTTTTTAATATTAATTTATAAAATTAATTTTAGTATTATGAATCATTTAATTAAAATATTTTGTGTTATTAATATTGAAAATAAAATTTATTTTTGTAATTTTTAGTACAATTTAATAGTTTAAAAATATAATAAATGCATTCATAAGAGCATATGTTTGAAAAATTCAATAAAAGTTGCGCATTTTCTAAATTAATTTGTATTGAAAAATAAAAAAAAAATTATTTTGGTTAAATTTCAATTTTGGATCTAGAGTTTTGTATAAACCTTTGATTTGGCCAATGAACTAGATAAATTCATATTTAGGTAAAAGGAAAAATCAAGATGTGAAACGGCTAATAATTGCTACATAATGCATTTGATAAATTTAGAACTCACATTATATTCCACATATTTAATGATTATAATTGAATGTCTTAATATTTAAATATTAGAATGTTTTGATTTTTTTTTCTTTTTTCTTCTTTATATTTAAACCCTAAAGTTTTAAATTTTAGCTTTTTTCCCAAAATAACAATTTATTTAGTTTAGAGACTAAATCAGAGGTTTTTGTAAAAGTTCAGCAATTAGAGTTGGTGTTTAACCAAATGGCAATATTGTTATTAAATAAACTTTAAGGCCAATATAGATAATGACTTTATCAACATCATCAATTTCTAAGTCATTAATTTGAAGGAAAAAAAAATAAAAATTTTCACCAATTAACATGTTATATAAGTTAAAATTTAACAAAATTTTAAAAATGGTCAAAATTTAAACTTTAAATGGCAAAATAAGAATTTATTTAATTTAAAAACTAAGTTCGGGGGGTTCATACCAAAGTTAAGGGTTCAAAAAAAAAATTTTTTTTTTTTTAAACAGCAAGTTAAGGGTTCAAAATAAAAGTTTAAAACTTTATTTTTAAGGCCAGTGGAATGTGGATTTTGATTTTTGGTTTTTTTTTTTTTCTAATATATATGAAAATGCCAGTTTGAATTTTTCAATTTGTTGATGCATTGAAATTTAAGATGTTGGAGGATGACTCTCGAAACAAACGACAAATGGGACAAGACTGTCTTATATTGTGTGATCGACACTCATGCAACTAGGGGAAAGAATTAATGAGTTATTCATTATTTTTTTATTTTCCTGTCATTGTTCTTCCATTCTAGATGTAAACAACGTAATTGAATGGCATTACCACACTGCCACATACTAGGCGTGTAGAAAAGTTGAAAAATACGGTTCAACTTCTTCATCTTTCCTTTTGTAGGGGTAAAGCAGCAGAAACAATTGACAATAAGCCTGGGTTCCCAAGTTCCAACTTGCTGGTTCGCATGTGTTAGAACAAGTCTAGAATATCGGAGCATAGAGTCAAAAAATTACATGGAAAACCAGCCCTTCACAACTAAATCCGAATCTTCAAATAAGGCATAATTTTATTTATTTTTATTTTTATTTTCTTGCATGTTAAAGAGTTAGTTATTTGAATGACAAGATTTAAACCCCATAACTTTGACCATATAAATTTAGAACTTGTCTTGATATTTTTTTTTAACTTTTTTTTTTTCTTTTCTTTTTCATCGACCCAGCGGACTGACCTAACATCTTTTCAATAGAGGATAGTTTGTTCCCTTCCTCTCTGGCTTCTTATAATAAATCACCAAATCACATCTAGCGAAAAATAAATCCAAATGGCGGCAACAATCAAATTGTGTTGTCTGATTAACATTTGTTAGAAAGGCAAACAGTGGACAAGAGCAATCACGTGGTAAGTGGGCTAAGTGGAGTCGGTGCCTCGGTGGGGGTAGATTATTGACGGTTAGTGCCATAGTGAGGTGGGTGGGGTTGGGGGTGGGGGGGTTCACTTGCCTTGCCCCAAGTCAACGAGAAAACACCACTCAATCCGCCAGCAACAATTTCCAATACCTTCAATTATATCATTATATAAATAGCCTAAAGCATCTCCTCCAGCTTTCGCACGTTACAGCTCAAAGTCTTAGTTGGAGTTGGAGATAAGAATATTTTCATCACATTTGTGGTGTTCTTGCTCCATTATATTCAATTAGAACATCTTCAAGTAGGATGCATATGTAGGCATATTACTCATTGTAACATGCATTATCATGAAACTGATACATCAAGGTTTGGCAAAGTGCAGATTGTCCACAACCATGGATAAGTGCGTGGAATATCGTCATTATACAGCTAATGAAATATAGAGGCATAGAGAAGCACGCAGAACACTTACTAGTTTCCTCACTTGGTTAGGTAGTGGATGCAAAAAAGTAACAGGCATGCAATTTCGTCACGCCAGTGATCACTTGGAGGAATGATTTTGTGCCGCATGAAAGTCGATGCCTTGAATACATATGAATGTGGTGGTGTCCTTGCTCATCATACAATGGTCAATCCAAATAACGTGTCAACATGTTTGGACATCTGCAATAAAGTAATCAAACTTTCATTTTCGAATACGTAAGAAATTGGTGAAGTTTGCTCATCATACAATGGTCAATCCAAATTCATGTGTTTGACATTTTTAGACATCTGCAATAAAACAATCAAAATTTCTTTTAAAAAAAAAAAATCGTGATAAGAATCTCAAATCAAGAATCACAATGCAATAAGACAAAAGCTAGGTAATAAACAACTGTTTCAGGATTTCGGCAATACTAGTTGTACAGTTGTGCAAACCCCACCAATACCTCACCTGAGAGCTCATATTTTCCCCTAGAATGTTCTTGAAAAAATCTAGTATGCTACAATTGATTTATCAAAAAGTTATACATAATACCACAGAATCCGAATCTTAAGGAGAAATTAATGATGATTATGTCCAAAACCACTTTGGTCTCAACTCTTAAAACCACCAATGGTTTTTTGCATTAATTTGTATGGAAAAAGATTAATTTCATTTTGGTTGAATCTTAATTTAGTTCTAAACTTTTGTATGGATCTCTGATTTGGTCTATAAAATATCTCACCCGAGAGCTCATATTTTTCTTGTCCTCTTTTCTTCTAGAATGTTTTTGAAAAAATCTAGTACGCTACAATTGATTTATCAACAGTCAATCAGTAAAACCACAGAATGTGATCGAGTATTTATGCCAATCACCAATTCAGGCTTTTATGATATATGTAGAATTGAGGGGGAAATTACAACCAGTTAATGATACTCTTCCTAGATTGATGGATTGTTAATATATATGAGGAGCCCCACGCCAATTATGTCTGCAAAAGAAAAGTGAAAACCAGCTTCACTCTTTATTGAGGTTTGGTATTTAAATACAATCAAAATGTGCTATAATTTTCACATCCAGCAGGTGCAAGGTAAAGGTAGGAACTTTGCAGGAGGTTTAACATTTTTAGACCAAGAGAACGGGTTTCAAATTCCTGATATATATTGGCTTTACCCCAAGGACATACATTTTAAATTTGACCAGCATTCTAGTTCTAATAACATAATTACATTATGCAACAATAGCGAGGATTATTTATGATGTTCATGATAATTAAAAAGAACATATAAGGCAAGCCTTTTACCTTGGTCAAAAGGATCAGCAAAGAGAGCGACAGTCTTAGGAATTATTTTCAATTGAGCTGCACTGTGTAAGTAGATGAGGTGGTTGTACTTGGGGCGAGGAATGTGGTTCGCTCGAGCTGAACTGAGCCTGTAATGGTTGATCAGCCACCCGCTGATTTAAATACATGTCTAAGCTAGTGGATGAAGGCATGACCATCCTTTTCTTGTTCTTAAACCTTCACCTAACAGGGTATTAGGACAAACAGAAAAGCACATATATTGTAGATTTATTTAGATCGAGTAGAATGACAAATTAGTAACTTAAGATACCTGTCTTTACGCTTCTCAAGATATCTCTGCACTGATGCTTTTCTGTAAGTCGGACTTTCTAGAGACAAAGCCACATAAAATTATATTGAAGATAAATTGATAGAAAAGCAGAGATTATCAAAAAGTAAAGGCATAGTTTCATATACTTTATAAAAGAAAACAATGGAAGATAATTTGCTTTCACTCATTTTTTAACCGATATTCAAATGGCTACCTTATCAATTGAAAACTAAAATTCATGTTTCTCATGGACAGTGTATTTTGTGGTGTTCAGGTTACAGCATCTGTATTAGTTAATCCTGTAGAGTTTAGTTACATGTCAATAAGATGTAACCAACTTAGCATCCAAATTCAAAAAATCCTCAAACTTTTGCAATTTGGTGGGAAAGAGATGTGATGCCAATGCACAAATCACTTAATGATTGTATTTATCATTTTAGCTACAATCATGTGAAGAAGCACTTTAAAACATGAAGTTAAAACCAACAAGGAACCAAACAAAACACAATGCATGAAAAAATGATAAAATTATTGAGTACAGAGGGAGTACATGGTATCTAACCAGCAAGGGCTAAAAGAGGCATACAAATTTTTCTTATCATTAATCAACAAACAGAAAACAAATGGCAGAGGCATTGAGCCCATATGTAGAATAAAGGACAGAATCTATATAAGGAGTACTTATAATCATTATCTACCTAACAAGAAAAAAGAAAAAAAAAATGATGATCTGGAAGATGACTAGAAGGAAGCATTTACCAAGGCCGTTATCATGAGATACATTGATTTCAACTCTGGGTAGCTGCCAGTTATCTGCCAGTTTTACTGCAAATGAAAGTAGCATAACTAAAATATCATGTCAAAAATTGATAAACAATTATCCTGCAATACAACCACCGCCCACACCCATTATAGTTTAATATGGAATGAACCAATTAATTACTTGTATTTTAAGAGAATGGCAAGTTCTATTAACTACTTGTTTTCATTGTAAAGAAGCCTTGGAACCAAACCTAGTAAATTGGAAAAAGTAGAAAAAATAAAAACAAGCAACGAAAGAAAGATAATGCATTGGCCTACTTCATTTTCCCTAAGGTCATGCAGGCTAAATATACTGCTTAACAACAAAGGAGGCAGAATTATATCTCATATTTGTAGTGACTCACAAAAGAAGCTATATGAAAGTTAAGAAACCCCTAGCACAGTAGAACCAAACAAAACCTACCTGTTTGTGGTGTTGGTAAGGTAGCCATAGGAGAACCAGGGCCTACTTTGGGACCTGCAGCCTGTAATAAGTGACATGGAAAAGAACATGGTGTTGTGCTTTGATCAGCTACATTTTCCAGAGGAAAGGGAAGAGAGCTAGCAGCAAGCTGCAAGATTGCTTGTGCCTACAAATCCATCACAAAGTAACATGATAAAGCTATTTTATAGTGAAATAGACTGCAATGTATTTAGGCAAAGAGAAGCTTTTATCACCTTACAAGCAGGCACATCATCATAGACATTTACTTTTCCACAGTAAAAAATTGTCATCTGTCCAACCGGCTCTTCCGCTGGAGTGGTGGCTCTGGACAGTTTTGATAGCTCTTCAGTTCTGGAAATTAAACTAGTAATATAAAACTAATCTAACTCCTCTTCCTAGGAAGAAATATCCCAATCCCTTCAATGAATGCACAACATTCTCGTCACCAATAGGGCGATCTAAATTGTTTATGTATCTGCATGCTTTATGGATTACAATTCTAGTTTTTGGGCAAACACTAACAGAACCAACATAAAAATACAGCAGATTTCAACAAAGAAAATCTAATATGATATGAGACCAACTACTAGAGAAAACACCATGGAGTTCAGCAGTGTAAACGTCATGAGAAGGAATTGCTTGAAAACTGCTTATGAGTCTAAAACTCAATAGATCAACTGATATGCTATTACTGGGAAAGGGATGAAGAAAGGGTTAACAAGTTTATGAACAGTGAATAGGATTAGGATCATTTAAATTGGCACAATGAATCTCATCTGCTTTAGTATCTCTAAATATCCTCAGACTACTCCTACTGCCATGGGATTCTTGAACGGAAAGAAATAACAAACCAAAGCATTCCTAGATAATCAGACCTTTAATTGACAGTTATGCAGCCAAATTCTATTTCATATGTCCCAACATTATTAAAGGAAGCCAACCAACCAACCAATCAACCCTATTTCTTCATGATTGATTTGCTTTCACATCAATCCAAGAAACGAAATATCTCACGATAAGTTAAGTCCAAAAATACTTTAATTCATCAACTGATATTTACTTAAAATTCTTATCAATGAAGATCCAAGAAAATCTAAGTGAAATAACTCCAGATGATGAAAGGAGTAATAGGTAGGGCAAAGCATATGCTAAGCAGTAATTGGTATGGTATATGCATATGCGTTTTAGCTTCAAAGAAACAACCTAGGAGAAACAGAGTCGTCCTTGACGGCTACATCTCGGCCACCAATATCGCCGGAAGGATCAGATTCCGGTGGATCCGGATGACCACATGTAACCGAATCCTCCGCCGGCACGGAAATCACAGTATCCGATGTCGTTTCCTTAACTGAAACGGCAGAAAGAGAAGCAGCCTACCGGAGAAAATAAAAATAAATAATAAATAATAATTAAATAATTAAATTCATTTGATCAAACGTGCATTTATTAAAATAAAACGAAAATCTCCTCCACTTTTCATGCCATTAATTTTAACAAAAATAAAATTAAAATAAGAAGGTTAATATTAGCAGCAGAAAGAAACGCACACGAGGAGGATTATCAGGGCGGGGAATGTAGAGCTTCCTCCGGGCTACGGCGGCGTCCGAATCCGACGGCGCTTCCAGAAGCGTTTTTAGTGAGATTACCTGCTGAATCGCCTGCGACTTGTTCCACGACGGTCTCCGCATGCCTGGACGAAACGACATGAGGACTCAAACGCAACCACAAAACAAAACAGTACACAAAAAAAGCAGCGAATATAGTAACTAGAGAAGAACCTTTTTCTTTTAGGTATTTGCGGCAATCTTCGCGCGTGAGCTGAGAAATGTCATCCTCCGTGAGCTGGTGCAGCGGCTTGTCGAGTAAGGAACGGGAGGAAGCTGTCTCCCCTGCCGACGTCATGGCTTAGAACTCCGGCGACTGTATATTCCACTACCTGACCGCCGGTTTCTCTGAGTCGCCCGGAGATCGATGCTCACTTCAGAGTCAGACCATCCCACAAATTTGTGAGGTCGCTAGTCACTGCCCTAGAAAAGTGCTTTTGCTTTCAAAAGAGTGAGAGACGAAGCACATGATCGCGCGTGTACCATCTGATAACCTTCAGTTGCAGCGTTTACAGGCTCTCAGTTGGGCCATTTTTAAAGGAAGAATCTAAAATTAGCCCCTCAACTAACGATTTTGTTTAAATCAAACCCTTCTATTAACTTTCATTTGGAATAAGCCCCTCAACTAAGTTTGTTTGGCATTTCATTTCCATGTTTTTTCTCCTTTTTCGTCATTGTTATTATTACAAATTTACCAGAAGAAAACAGGGCATTGGTGTAGACGATTATAAACTTAAAAATACGACTATTTTTTCTCTTTGACATTGATTAAAAGATGGAAAAATTTTTTCAAGTTAGATTCCACATTAATGAAATTACTATAATAGTTAACAAATTTTTAATAAAATATATATTTATTAAAATACTTTTAATAAGTCTCCTCTCTATATTATCCCTTTAAGGAAACTTATAAAATATGAGATGATATCAAATAAATTGTGACATTTTTTCAACTCAGTGGTGTCATGTTTAAATACTCATATCTCAATTGAATTTAATTATCAAATTTATTCTTGATGATCTTATTTTTTGAAACAATTAAAACTCTTAATAGCTTAAGGGGAGGGGAAGAGAGGGAGAGAAAATTTTCCTATCTAAATAACAAAAAGTTGAAAGAGAGCTAAAGGGTTTTTTTTGTTTAATTTCTTATATATTTTAATTTAATCAAATAAAAAAAAGGAGGGGAGAAGTAAAAGAAAAGGAAGAAAATAGAATTATGACTCGTCGAACTGAACTAAGCTGAGGTTGATGGGTGCTAGGTAAGGTTTTTTTGGACAATGATTAGGAAATTTCTACATTCCAGCCGGTTATCTAATATACCAAAAAAATGCTTTACAGAAAGGACAATAGTAATTTTTGATATATGCCTCATGAATTACCCGGGAAATGCAATTTTAGCTTCAATACAGCTTGAAATGGCTAAAATGTCAGAGAATTATTAAACATTATATGAAAGCCTAAAAACAAAAATATATTACTCATCGAACTCAACTGAATTAAGATTGATTGGGGCGACAGAAGGCTCTTTCACGATGGTCAGGAAATCTTCATTCTGTCCCTCCAAATAAGCATTCAAAAAGGCGACGACAATACCGCCTACACATTTCCTCATTGGGTCCCTAGGAAAGCTACTGTTTGTGCACAAACAGTCTGCCATTACTCCGACGATTCCATGCAGACCATCGTTTAACATGTCCATGTGACCGTAATTGGTCGCCACGAAGTGAGCCCGAGGCTGCTTGCATTCATTGAAGAACTCAACATGGTTAACACCGTCCGGAGCACACGGCACCGACAGGCAGTTCTTCTTTACACCTCCCAGTCCAGTTCCGATTACAGTGATCGGAATCGACAAGT